CAAACGGTGGACAATACCACGGTTAGAACTCACTGCGGCTCTGCTCCTGGCCACATTGATCAAGTATGTTCAGGATCAACTCAACCTCATGAATGCCACCACCTATTTCTGGACGGACTTATCGATAACGCTCACTAGTCCATGCGCAATACCCCTTTCTGTATGCAATGGTATGTCGATGAACTTTTGTTTTTCTATGTTTTTGGGGGGGAGGAATCCGAATCCATCGGTGTTTTTTACCTAAAGTTATGCGACCACTTTGTTATTAACCATTTACAGTCCCATCTCGTGCAAAATCGTTTTTTTCGCGAAAACTATCATATTTACAGCGAAATAAGTTTCTACCAAATTTATTCCTTAGGTTTTAACGAACAAATTTCTTTTTTACTTGTTTAAATCGGATGATTAGTAATGGAGTTATGCACATTTGTTTATGGGAATAGCGCATGCCAACGTCGTCCACGGGTCGCGCGCGCCACTATCCACCCAGAGTATTTTTTTTTCCTTACGGAGATAATGACAATAATAGAAGAAACGTAGTGATTAGGTGTATTAATTGTTTTTAGCCTGGAAGTACATTATTTATTTACCTCAATTCCATCGCCAGTATCGATAATGTCACCACGAACGTGCTTGCATTCATATTCATACCTATATCAATAGCTTCATCTGTTTGAGTACAGTATCCTTGTAAAATTATGTGGAAAAAAAAATTAGTGGTGTAGGGAGAGAGTCTGCACATTAAAAATACATGAGTTTCTTCAAATAATTAAATATAATTTCATGCATTCATATAGAAAATTATATTCACATATCGCTGCAAAATCCAGGGGCTCTATGGCGGCCCGCACTCGACAAAAGTCCCGATGGTACTAACGCTTTTGACTATTTTATTCACGATTATTTTGTCCACGGTTATTTTTGTTTTACTAAGAACTGTCCTGGTGTATTGTTTACATCATGGGCAGGTATCGATTCCTTGAATTCGGCACAGTGGACGTATGCTGCTCAAAACAACGCGCGTCTTCTTTTTTTAGCACTTCGAAAATATCTCCGCAACTGACAATGGGATTTAAAGGTAACTGAATAACATTCGTCTAGGTTAAAAACAATTAATTAAAATAATCATTACGTTTTTTCGATTATTGCCATTATCTCCGTAAGGAAAAAAAAATACTCTGGGTGGATAGTGGCGCGCGCGACCCGTGGACGACGTTGGTGCGCGCTATTCCCATAAACAAATGTGCATAACTCCATTACTAATCATCCGATTTGAACAAATAAAAAAGCAATTTATTCATTAAAACCTAAGGAATAAATTTGGTAAGGACTTATTTCGCCGTAAATATGACAGTTTTCGCGAAAAAAACGATTTTGCACGAAATGGGACTGAGAATTGTTAATAACAAAGTGTTCGCATAACTTTAGGTAAAAAACACCGATGGATTCGGATTCCTCACCCCCAAAAATATAGAAAAACATCATAAAAGTCCATCGACATACCATTGCATACAGAAAGGAGGTGTTGCGCATAGACTACACTTGGATCAGCTCACACTTACCAAGATGGAACGAATTCGTGAATAATCGGGTATCACTCATCCAGGAGCTCACTCAGCATGCTCATTGGCGATTGGTACAAGGCAAGGAGAATCCTGCAGACGGCGCTTCTCGAGGTTGATCACCATCGAAACTAGCAGCTCACAAACTCTGGTGGATCGGATCACTATGGCTCCATTACGACAGCTCATCATGGCACACTCATGTGTTGGAAAAGGACCTCAACGTAGACGTCGAAGAAAAACTAGGAGTTCTACTACATGTACATGCTCAACCACTCGCTCTCTGGGATCTCATCGACAGATTTTCATCTTTCAACAGTCTGCTCAGAGTCACCGCAATCTGCAGAAGATTCGTCGCTCGGCTCAGGAGAGTTCCGAACTCTTCTGTCCATTATCCACTCACTCTTGGTGATCTTGAAGAGGCCGGCATCATCTGGATAAAGCTCACTTAGGCCGCTCACCTCAAGGACAAACTCCGAACCATATCACGAGGTGAAAGATTCACCAAATCTCATCCTCTCACCAAGCTGGCACCCTTCATTGATCACCAAGGGGTCTTAAGAATTAGAGGTCGGCTCAAGTTCGCTCACAGCAACCCAGAGGGCAGAATCAGGCAATCCTTCCGAAGGAATCTCAACTGGCCTAATTACTCATCGGACAAGCTCATCTTCAAACGCTCCATGGAGGCATTCAACTAACACCCAGCCATCTCAGAAAGAGCTACTGGATACTCGGAGGCCGGGCACCAGTACGCTCCTTGATTCTCAGGTGCATGACATGCGCTCGCCAACGTGGAGCGCGTGCTCAACAACTCATGGGCCAGTTGCCACCAATTAGACTCACCCCCGCTCGAGCCTTGCTCAACACTGGAGTCGACTATGCCGGCCCAGTGTCTCTCAGGTCATGGAAAGGGCGGGGTCACAAATCGTACAAGGGCTGGCTGGCAATTTTCATCTGTATGACCACCTCAGCGGTTCATCTCGAGGTCGTGTCAGACTACTCAGCGGAAGGATTCATCGCAGCCTATCATCGGTTGACGAATCATCGTGGGATCTGTAAATCCTTGTTCAGCGATTGTGGGACCAACTTTCTCGGCGCGGACAAGGAACTCAAACGGCTCTTTTCGTTAGGATCATCAGAATCAAGACAGCTCGCCCAGCTTCTCATCAACGATGGGAGACAATAGTCGTTCAATCCTCCAGGTGCACCTCACTTCAGAGGGAAATGGGAAGCGGCGGTAAATTCGGTGAAATTCCATCTCACTCATACTATCGGCGAGGATCTGCTCACCTTCGAGGAACTCACAACGTTACTCGCCTAAATCGAGGCAGTACTCAACTCTCGGCTATTGGAACCGCTTACTGATGATCCTGAAGGCTGCTCAGCTTTGACACCAGGGCATTTCCTCATTGGTCAGGCTCCCATGACACTTCCAGAATCCTCACTAGGGCAGTTCAACGTCTCTCGACTCTCCAGATGGCGGTTCAAACAACGACTTCAGAGGTTCTGGAAAAGTTGGTCCACTGGATATCTACAACGGCTCCAATCAATATCCAAGTAGCACTACCCGACGCATCAAATCAAGATGGACTTACTGGTTCTACTCACTGACGAGAGATTTCCGCCAACCAAATGGCCTCTAGCTCGAGTTACTGCTCACCCACTCAGGACCCACTGCTCTTCACTCAGGACAGAACGGACTCACCAGAGTTGTCACCATCAGAACAGCTCAGACGACACTGACGAGACCCATCGCCAAGCTTGCGCTCCTGCCCATCTCACCATCCGAAGAGTTGAACCAGGTCAGAGCACCGACTACGGCTCAAGGCCCTTCACCTGTAGATCTCAATGACCGTAATGGATTTACAAGCCGGAACAACCGATGAGATTCGGAGGGAAGATGAGGAGATCCGAGTCCGGACAAAATTTATGACAAAAGAAACGATGTCAGGATGTCAGGACAAAAGAAACGGAACAATAGGAGTCAAGAAAAACAAAATTCCGACGCGATGAGATCATCACGGGATCGAAAAATGAGAGAGTGTGACATCCGTCAGAAAATTTATTTAAATTTATTTTCTTACGTCGTCATTCAATTATCTCAGTGGTAGAAGCGACTTTTGAAACCCAAAATTATCTTCTGTGACCGGGGAAAGTGACCCCCTCGATGTTAGGAATATTTCGGCTGCACACATCTGTGAAAGATGAAAATGTTCCCAACGTCGAGTTTCTCCTAGATTAAGGAGATATCAGCTGTGTAGTATCAGCTGCACTGTAAACACTTGAGTCTATTCTCGTCTCCTTAATCATGCATCTTCCACGTGTGACCATAAATTTCAATAAACACTGGACTCTTGAACCGGAAAACTATTGATAACAAATTCTAAGTGTGGGTCCAAATTTTGTAACTCCCACGATGAATATTTAATAAAAAATAGAGTAACGATTTCGTTGCCCACGAATGATTCTTTTATGTATATTTTTCCATTTCGGATATTAATTAAACTATCATAATTGTTTAAGAAATATTATCAACGTGGGAAAACCACAAAATAATTAAAGTTTAAACAATATTTTTATGTCATTGAATTATTATTGAATTACTATTCAATTACTATTTTTCCTCAATGAATTATAATTTATCATAAAATTTCATGAAATTTATAGACAATTGTATTCGAAGATTATTAAATAGTTTAAGGAAAATACTGAATTGTTTCAAAAAAAATTAAATAACAAAGATGTTAACGCTACCTTGTTGATTAGCACAGCAAGACCACCACTGCCTCTGCCCATTGTTGCTTCTCTTGTAGCAACTGACCAGTGACAGACATACTTCGATGACCCTAACCCTCCAGCACTGCCTCAACCCCGCGAGTCTCATACGCACAGACATTCACATATACTTAAATGGAAAGTTGAGCTGACGGACTCCTCACAGGCCATGAGGACCTCGCCTAGATTATTACAAGCCAACTCTCTCACTGACCCCGCAGCTCTGTATGATATGCTTTATGCCGCGATAGCAGAAGCAGCCTCATCCAGTGGTATGATAGGAAGAAAGCCCCACCCCGGCCCCCACGGTCTCCAACCTAGCCGTCATCGTTGGGAAGATGAGGAGTACAGGGCCCAGAAAAACGCAGTAAATAGATCGCAAAGAGCCCTCCCCAGAGACAAATTTAATCCTTCCTCGGCCGCAATACTTTATCGACATGTCACTGAATACAGAAACTGCTGGAAAAAGAAAATCAGGGTCCACTCCAGAAGGCTGAAAGACCGTATGGCCAACAAGAGAAACGCCAGCGAATTCTGGAACACGGTGAAATCCGTCCGCCCGTCTACGTTTGTTCCAAATAGAGTTTCCAAAGATGTCTGGGAGCAATTCTATAGCCGTATATACCCCCCAGAGCTCTGACAGTCCCCTGCATCCCAGATATCATGGATCCATTCTTAGAGAAAGACATAAGCCGCACTGAAGTCTGTCGCAACCTAAGAAGCAGTAAATGTGCTAAAGCCCCTGGACCTGACGGTATCGCCAACGAGTTTCTCAAGCATCTTCCCCCGGACTGGGTCCAGAATCTAACAAAGATGCTGAACAATGCTTGGAAGGAGAAGAATGTTCCTGACTGCTGGCCCAAGGCTGCGCTGTCCATGCTCTTCAAGAAAGGAGATCCTGCTGACCCGATGTGTTACCGAGGTATAGCTCTCATTAATAACATCCTCAAAATGTACACGGGAATTTTGCACTCCCATCTTGAAGCCTGGATGGCATCCCGCAATATTCTCCCTGAAGAGCAGGCTGGCGTTCGTCGTGGTAGAGGCTGCATTGACCAAACATTCTCCCTCGTCACCGCCGTACAAACAAAACTGAGATTGACAGGTAACACAATTTATTGCATCTTCATTGATTTTAGGAGAGCGTTTGATTTAGTCCCTCATCAACTGCTATGGGAAAAGCTGGGCAAATTGGGTGTGAGTGGGAAGACCCTTAGAGTCTTTCGCAACATTTACGATAATGCTTCGGTCAAGGTGCGCCTTGGCATGGACTACACGGAGGACTTTGAGGTGACTGAAGGGACCTTGCAGGGTGACAAACTGAGCCCTCTGCTCTTCATCGCCTACATCGCGGATTTCATCGAATTCCTAGAGAGAAAAAACATTCAATGTCTCGACATAGGTGGTAAAAGTCTCAGAGCCCTCCTCTACGCCGACGACACAGTGGTCCTTGCAAGATCCTTGACCGACGCCCGTTATATCCTGAAATGCCTCCCCGAATACTTCGACGCCAATGGTCTGGTAGTTCACACGGGTAAAACGGAGGTTTTGGTTTGTCGCCCGTCTGGTAGGGTGAGAGCGCATGAAAAGTCTGCTTTCTTCTACAAAGATCAACTCGTTAAGACAGTTGAGCAATGCACGTACCTCGGCACGGTCTTGGATGGCGCAATGTCTGGTAATCAGGGAGCTATCTCTGCCATGCAGAAAGCTAGAATAGCCATCGCCACTGCCAACTCAATTCTCCGCCGCACCAAAGCCGAGGACTGGCACTCCAGGATCAAACTATTCGATAGCCTCGTGTCTTACACTCTGCTATATGGAATCCAGACCTGGGGCCCTGACCATCTTAATGAAATAGAAAAGATACAGACAGACTATTTTAAACGCATCTTTCTTCTCCCCAGCAATACCCCGGGCTACCATATCAGGCTTAAACTGGGCATTCAACACCTTGCCCTTCGGGCTTTGAATTTCATCTGGGACTGGATCTGTAAGGTCCTGAAAATGAACCATGAGAGATGGCCCTATATCTGTCTGATGGAAACGATTCGACTCTCTCGGTCTCCAGCCTGCATAGCAAAATTCAATTGGGTCTCTAGAGTGAGCGACATCTTCGCCTCGGTTGGTCTCCCCTCAATGTTTGACCACCTGGACTTAGCCTTCTGGATGGAACGGAGACAGACCTTCATCGAAGCCCTAGAGTCGAAACTGAGAGCCACTTATTACGCTAGCTTACTATGCTCGAGCTCGTCACAGGTTCAACTAATCAGGAGCCCCTCAGATGTCACTGCCAACTACTTACGCTTCAGAGGAGGGATCCACGCCACACGAGTCGCCATCCAGCTTAGACTCGCTAATGTTTATGTATGTGGAGTTGTTTGCAACGGCCTAACATACAAGCTGACAACTGGATCTCCCTGTCGCCATTGTGACCTGAATTCGCTGGAAACGTTGGAACACTTTCTACTGGTTTGTCCGGCATAACCTCTGAGAGAGGTTCATTTCAGTGACCTCCTATGCGACGTCCCCTCAAAGAACCATCTGCTAAGAATCCTCTCTATTCCTACCCCCAAGCATCTTTTCGCCCTTTACAATTTCGTCGTCAAGGTCTTGTCCTCCAGATCCACTCTCCCTGCCTCTCCTGCCGCTACTCGTCCACCCTAAAACTCCCCATTAACCGCTGAACTGGCTCCTCGCCCTCTATGGATTTTGCATTATCTATATTATTCCGTCTTCTGTTTCAGCTGGCAATGCTTAAGAATGCTTAAGATTAGTCTGTCGTCTTTTATCGCCCAAGTAGAACAGCTCTGACTTTGTCACTATCTTTCCACCAAGCACGATACTCAGGTGGGGCCTTCCATCTTCTGCGTTAACTGCTTAAATGCTTAATCTTAATTACCATAACCTACAATAACAGACGACTATAGGGAATTGTACTGAGATGATGTTTTGAGTTTTGAGTTTCTAATTTTTTCAGTTCTGTCTTCGCAAACTGATTCGCTGCGGTATCCTTTATTATTACTGCTACTGCTTGGTTTCTCTCACTTGCCATTTGCCACTTAGCATTTATTATTCTCATTATTAGCCCATATACTTTGGCAAACGTGGTATAATATTTTTATTTCATCTTTTTTGTAAACGTTTGTAAGCCTTATTTTTTATCTTCATTTTTATCACTATTATTATTATTCTCCACTCTAGTTTTGCTTTATAGTCGCTTATTGCTGTACTTATCATTAAGACTTCCACCTATAAAACTAGATCATGCACCCTCTTGCTACAAGAGAACTATGTAACTTCTCATAAAGCAATAAATAAATAGTATAATAGTAATAGATGTTAACGCTAAGTTGAAAATAAGAGATAAAAGAGAATTGTGGAGGGAATATATGGGCATTCCTAAACCAATTTTCATTGGTTGTTGGGGAATAGAAAAGACCGCCTACACCCCAAAAACATCTTCATGTAGAGAGATGGAGTTGATCTCGAAACAAGGAGATTTCAAACCACTGGAGTGAGAAATTTCGGCTAGAGTCATTTGTAATTGGTCCCCGAAATTTCCCTATGCATTATTAGGGTACACCCTCCTAAATTAACTATAAATACTTGTGCGCGATAGCAGTTACTGTTGCAGTTGCAGTCACGGCTACAGTGGTAGTGTCGTAGCTCATATCTGAGAGTGAGTATACTCCAGTTTCTTTTTGGACACGGTTCCAATTTTATTATCGACCTAGTAAGGCGATATTTCAAGTCTGTCGTGACTTTTTATTTTCATTTAGTCTTGTCTGACTATTTTCCATTTTCGTCTTTCATGACCAAATTATTTTCTTAGATCTCAAGTCTTGTGACATTTTTTAAATTATTTTATTGTTTTTAATTAAGAATTTAAACCAAAGGCTTAAATTCAGTGCGGCATTAATTTTAACCAAATTTAAAAATAATCTACGACTGAAACCAGAGCAGCACATGTAAGTCGAATATTATAATTCCCCTTTTCTACCTGTTTTGTTGAAATATAAACTCTATTGAGTCCCTTTAAAATTACTCAAAATTCTTTTCATTTTACCCCAAATGAACCTTTCCAACTTTTAATTCCAAATACTTTTGGGTTTAGAAAATTGTACTATAACGGGACGTTTATAAGTGGGTGTCATGTTTAAATTCCATCCATGTAAACTCGAAATGATCTTTGAATTTTATTTTCTTTCTTTGTGCAATATATTGAATTCTAATTCAATATAGTTGTGTGACATCCGTCAGAAAATTCATTTAAATTCATTTTCTTACGTCGTCATTCAATTATCTCAGTGATAGAAGCGACTTTTGAAACCCAAATTATCTTCTGTGACCGGGGAAAGTGACCCCCTCGATGTTAGGAATATTTCGGCTGCACACATCTGTGAACGATAAAAATGTTCCCAACGTCGAGTTTCTCCTAGATTAAGGAGATATCAGCTGTGCAATATCAGATGCACTGTAAACATTTGAGTCTAGTCTCGTCTCCTTAGTCATGCACTTTCCACGTGTGACCATAAATTTCAATAAACACTGAACTCTTGAACCGGAAAACTGTTGATAACAAATTCTAAGCGTGGGTCCAAATTTTGTAACTCCCACGACAAATATTTGATATAAAAATAGAGTAACGATTTCGTTTCCCACATGGAGGAAATGACATAAACATTGACGAACATGTGACACAAAAATAGTAAAATGCATCATACAACAGAATGATTCTTTTATGAATAATTTTCCATTTCGGATATTAATTAAACTATCATAATTGTTTAAGAAATATTATCAACGTGGGAAAACCACAAAATAATTAAAGTTTAAACAATATTTTTATGTCATTGAATTATTATTGAATTACTATTAGATTACTATTTTTCTTCAATGAATTATAATTTATCATAAAATTTCATGAAATTTATCTGAATTGTTTCAAAAAAATTAAATAACAAAGATGTTAACGCTAAGTTGAAAATAAGAGATAAAAGAGAATTGTGGAGGGAATATATGGGCATTCCTAAAACAATTTTCATTGGTTGTTGGGGAATAGAAAAGACCGCCTACACCCCAAAAACATCTTCATGTAGAGAGATGGAGTTGATCTCGAAACAAGGAGATTTCAAACCACTGGAGTGGGAAATTTCGGCTAGAGTCATTTGTAATTGGTCCCCGAAATTTCCCTATGCATTCTGAGGACACACCCTCCTAGATAAACTATAAAGACTTGTGCGCGATAGCAGCACGACAGTTACAGTTCCGATTGCATTTTGTAATCATCGCTACAGTAGTAGTAGTAGCTCATATCTGAGAGTTAGTATACTCCAGTTTCTTTTGGACACGGTTCCAATTTTATTATCGACCTATTAAGGCGATATTTTGGGTTTTTCGCGACCTTTAATTTTCATATAGTCTTGGATGACTATTTAATTTCCGTTTTAGTCTTTCGTAACTAAATTATTTTCTGAAATCCCAAGTCTTGTGACATTTTTAATTATTTGATTCATTTAAATAAAGAATTTAATCCAACGTCTTAAATTCAGTGCGGCATTACTTTTAACCACATACAAAATACTTTACGACTGAAAGCAGAGCAGTGAATGTAAGTCGAATGTTGTAGTTATACTTTTCTACTTGTTTTGTTAAAATATAGACTCTATTGAGTCACTTTAAAGTTATTCAAAATTCTTTTCATTTTACTCCAAGTGAACCTTTCCAACCTTTGATTCCAAATACTTTTGGGGTTTAGAAAATTGAAGTAAAAGGGGACCTTTGTAAATGGGTTTTGTGCTTGAATTCTATTCCTTAATTTCGAGACGATCTTTGAATTTAATCTTGTTTCTTTGGTTCAGTATATTGAATTTTAATTTAATAAAGTTGTGTCAAGTAACCCATTCTTGACGTAACAAAATTGGGGGCTCGTCCTAAAAAAATATATTCTCAATCACCAAATTGCTAAAACTATCAATTCATAAGAAAATTTTACAAATATTTCCAAAATTCAATTTTTTTAAAATTCTCTCATTAATTTTTTTTTTTCTGAAAGGAACACTTGGTAAAAATGAGTGCAAATGTCGGGGCAAGAACCGACTGAGGATGAATTGAATAGATTAATAACTTTAAGAAGTGGTAAAACTTTACCGGGTTTTTTTCAACCATCCCGACCTTATAAAAAATCAGATAAAACATTAGATTCTGGATTTGGTGAAACAAGTCAATCTCAACAAGAGACACTTGGTTTACAAAGCCTTTTAAGTAATATTTCTAGCGATGCGGATCAAAGTACTTCAGGAATAAATCCTTTGGAAGTATCGTCGTTTCGAAAACTAAATATATCTAAAGANCATCGACCTTATAAAAAATCAGATAAAACATTAGATTCTGGATTTGGTGAAACAAGTCAATCTCAACAAGAGACACTTGGTTTACAAAGCCTTTTAAGTAATATTTCTAGCGATGCGGATCAAAGTACTTCAGGAATAAATCCTTTGGAAGTATCGTCGTTTCGAAAACTAAATATATCTAAAGATAATACGGTTAATGAAACGTTAGAAACAGACGGTAATTTATCGGATGATAATGAATCATTAAATTTAAATATTTCTGCGGATCCTGAAGACGGTGTAGATAATTTACCCAACGTAAGAAATAATAATAATCGTTACACAATGGCGGATCTAGGCCCAAACCAATTAATTTCATTGAAGGATGCAATTTCATGTATTCCTGTATTTGAAGGTAAACCAGGAGATCTTTATGATTTTATTAG